TCACGGTGGAGGTCGGCGACGGAGGTCGTGAGTTGCGGCGGCTTGGTTAGGGTCAAACTAGGGTTCCGAATTTGAGGAGAACTAGGTTATGACGATGGATGGGTGGAGAACGGGATTGGACAGTAGCGAGATGGCTGGCGAGCTGAAGCTGAGGCAAGATTTGGGAGAGTGTGAGAGAGGAGAGGAATTAGGAGAACTTGGGCTTCAGAAAATGAATTTTTGAGGTGATAAAGTGTCAATAATAAAAGAAGACTCAAAACCCTCAATTGTGTCTGTGTTGGTTGCAAGATATTTACTGAACGGATTTTGGTTCTTTGATGACCACAAACCAGAGATGGCAAGAGAGAGAGAGAGAGAGAGAGAGAGAATAACATATTACAGAGTGGGTGGCTGACGAGGAAGGAGGGTTAACGATGAAAGAGCGTGTTCTGCACTTTCGGATTGCCTCTTTTGGTATGGGTAATTTCAACCCGGTTTTACCAAAAAGACAACATTGAAAATTCACCATTGGATTTTATCCGACGGCTCTTAGATACCCCTCAAAAACACCCCTTATAACTTTCCACTCACTATAGAAGCACTCGTCGTTCGGCAAGGAAGATAGGATGGGCTTAGGCTAGGCTCGAGCTTCTTGGGCTTCAAAAAGGTGTGGGCATGGGCTGCGGTAATGCTTCAGCAAGGGCTGGTGCATGGGCTTTGGTAAGACTTCAGCAAGTATTATTCGCAAGGGTCCCTAGTGTCCAAGGCATCCTTGCCAGCGTTCACTCCCTTATGCCGTTCGGCAAGGGATTTCTGGAACCGGTGTGTGCGCGTTGAAAGCTGGAAATCAACGGTAAGGTTTTGAAAAAAGTCTTGGTAGGTGCTGGAAGGAGAAAAGGAATTTGCGTGTCCATCAAATCCGCAACACAGGCCCTGCCGAATGGCAGGGTTGATGTGGAAGAAAATTTCGTGAGCCCCTCATTTCCTTTTTTTTTTTTTTTAGGTACCTTGTGGCTGGAAGACTTTCAGCAAGGGCCCTTTGACAAGGAGGCTGAGGCTGATGTAATCAAGCCTTTGGGAGGCGGGCCTCCTGAGCAGGGCTTTTGGCAAGGGTCCAAAAAGGAGAGGTAAGTGTTGTTTCTGCAAGGTCGTGTAGCTTGAACACGAGTTGCTACGTTTAGGTCTCTGAAGGGAAGGTGGCGGCTTAGGTTGGGCATGAATTTTGAGCCGGGCATTCGGAGGCTGTATGGTCGGCAAAGAGCCTGTACATTCGGGATGAGGCCATATAGTTGGAAGGAGGCAGTGCACGCGCGAGCTCCTTCGTAGCTTCCACATAGCCCTTGCCGTTCGGCAAGGGTGATTTGGATATTGTTGAGCCCATTAATTCAGCAGCAATTGGCGATATCATCGGTCTTTAACAGCTTCGGTGGTAGTCAAATTTGACTCCCCAAGGTGCAGCACCAGTTTTGCCATTCGGCAAGGGTCCCTCTGCGGGAGGACCGTCTGTTCTCACAGCGGTCGTCCTAGGCTTCGACTTTCGGCAGAGTCAACTGGTAAGACTGTTTACATAAGGCCGTAGTTTGGGCATAGGCCTTGCCGAACGGCAAGGTTTGTCCAAATTTTTTTTGTAACCCCTTCATTTTTCTGCATAGGCTGGTTCGAATATATTGTATGATTGTGGGTGCAGATGCTTTGGTCTGGCGTTTCATGGAGTGTGATGCCTGAGATTAAGGCAGAGGTGTCGGTAATTTTGAGTTGCAGCTAGTGATGAGCCCACTATGGGTCGTTGGGGAATGGCTACCGAATGGTGATAGCTTCGGCAAGTTGGTGTGTGAAGCCTCAAGTTTGGTAGGTATGGTGTCTTCAGCATGCTGCCTTTTTCCTTTTTCGAAGGCATCATGGGTGTCTAGAGAAAAATTTAACATTGGGTGTCGAATGGTACTTCATATTTCCCTGTGGATAGGCCTTGTAGGCAGTGGTTCGGTGCGGCTCCGTGAAGCTTCGGAGGTGCCAAATGGTAGTTTGATTTTCCATTAGTGGGACAAGTCCATATGTTTAGCTTTGTGGTGTCGTTCGGTGCAGATGGGTTTTGGCAACAGCTGCTGCAATATGGTGTTTGAGTGATACGACGCTGCACAATGGGTTTTATTTATGAATAATATATTGACAATGCTCTATGAAGGTTTGCACCTTGTCCATTAAATAATGAAAAATAAATAAAGATGGGGTTTCTTATCTCTTGCAGATGATGCACGTGGCATCATTTTGGAGATTCTTGTGTTGTTGTTGCCCAATTGGATATTGGGTGTCTTGAGGGATTTCGGCATTGAAAGCCACCCTTGTCGTCAACTGTGCCGTTCAGCAAGTATGGAAACCTGTTTGCTTGTTGATGCAGTAAGTTTGCGATGGTAGGATTGTCGTTCGCCCAGTGCCTCACACCAATTTTGAGTTTGACTTCGTATTGGAGAGAAGATGTTGCCGTGTGGCGTACAGAGGCTGGTCTTGAGTGTATGGTCACCTTATCACGTTTGGCTTGCCAATTACCCAGAGTGGGTGTTCCTATGAGTTGGGTCTGTTGGGTATTTGGTTATTCTCCGATTGTAAAATATTCTAAAATAATATGAGATAGGAAGAGGAATTTTATCCTTTGGAGAGCATGGTGCCGACCCATAGATGTAGAAGTCACGTGGGTATATCAATATATTAATAAAATATGCATCTCCTATGAATTAAATAATAATAGGAAGATAAGAAATATTGCACTTATCTCTTGGAAGTGAATCACGTGGCTTTCCTTTTGGATTGAAAAAATGGCTTGTCCCTGGCCATGCAAGCCATGCAAAGTGATATTCTTGATGAATTGGAATATTTGGCAACCTTCAAACTGAAACTCTTCGAAGTATTTGAAAGGTGGGTTGCTTCAGCAAATACACGTCTCGGCATATTGGTGCCTTGAGATCCCATGTTGGCTTCGGCACATATGGTGCTAAATGATAAGCTTAATAGATGATGATTGGAAGGGTGCCGAAGGGCACTAAATGAGGGGAGAACGACAAAGGCTTCTTGTGTCAATTCCCACAGACGGCGCCAAATTGTTGATGCTCTTTTTGGGAGGGTCAACTTAGATAGATGTGGAATGGTGGATGATGTGTGAAGATGTGGGCCTTCAGTATGTGTGTGATGGTTTTGGGCAAGCGATAAATATACAGAAGACAAGATATACCTGGTTCACCCTTGAGGAATGGGCTACGTCCAGAGAGAAGTATATTCTCATTATGATAATGTTTGTTTATATTTGTACAAAGAGGATTAGACCCAAAGATAAAGGGAAGAAGGCCCAAGGCCTAAGGTACAAAGCCCAAGAATCCAAGACCCAAGACCCGAAGACCAGGAGACCAGAAGAGAGTCTAGAAGAGAGAGCCCAGAGGAGAGAACCCCTTTTCTAAGGGGACAGCAGTTCTTTTATAGGTGAGGGAGTCTCCATCTCTTGTAATTTTTCGATGTGGGATTTGTGCAGCTTGCTCTGGAGATTAAGTTCGGCAGTCAGAAGCTTCGGCAGATGGCTAGCTGCTTCGGAAGTGTCTTCCTTCGGCATGTTGGAAGGTGATGACCTCTCAAAGCATGACACGTGTATGGTCTAGGCCCAGCTAGTTGCTCGGTCAGTTATGAAACCAACATGAAGAAGATTCATCCTCTGCAGACTTCATTTGAAAAAATATGAGCTCAATGTCCGACCACTTCTAAATTGTTAATTAGTAGTGTGAGCTTATAAGTACTGGTTTCCTCCCCGTACCCTTTCCAGTGTTTTCAATGTGGGTTATTTTGGTACCATGTTCACCATTCCTATTGTATATATATCAATATAATCGTACATTTCCCGTAGTTGGGGCATCGGGCTAGGTGACATATTTTCTGAATATATATTTTTCCCATGATTGTGATGAGAAGCCTGTTTAGGTCATATATAATTTTCTCAAGTTGCAACGCAGGTGATATTTCTTATCAGATTTTGAGTAGCATTAACTAGGTGGTTACATACAAGTCCTACCAAAATATATTGACCAGAAAATTAGAATATTAAGACATTTAGATAACGTGGATTGTTCAAACTAACATGATAACTTGTGTGTAGACAGTTAGTTCACTGCTTAACTCAATTTTTCAGGTCATTTTCATGGAGCAACTGGAGATGTAGCGTGTGACGCGTATCACAAGTATAAGGTATATAATTTGAAAAATTCAATCTAGTTATTGCTAAGATAGGCAATCACTTCCCTGATTTTCTTGAAAAGGAACCTAATCTCTTTCCCAATTTCTACTGCCCCTTGTGATATTTTACCCGTGATGGTTAGTTTGATTCCTTTTCTGGACAGCTCCCTGCTTTCCTGCTTATCCCTCTCTGAGATTGTAACTTGCTTATCTCCTTGGGAAAATTACCTTCTCTGTAAAGACAGAAGAAAAATCTCTGAATATACATATATAAGGGGGATTTAATCTTCAGTTCTTCAGAATCAACTTGATGTCACGAACCCTTCAATCACTTCTTCTATGACAGTTGCCATTGCTGACTTCCGCCATTGCTGACTTTTTCATCCCAGAGGTTGCCATTGCTGACTTTTTTATCCCAGAGGTTGTCACGTGAGATTGTTCCTTCTTCTGGACTCCCTCTTCCTATTATGTTGGGCCTGTGAGGCACAAATCAGCCTTGTTTGCTCTGATGAGCCTTGGGCTGGACTCTTCTGGTTTTTTGGGCTTCCATCTTTTCGCTGGGCTGGATGTGTCAATTTTTGGCCCAAACAGTTACTTAATTAGGTTTTGGGTTTTTTTTTTTTTTTAACAATATTTTCCTCCTTATCCACATAGTGACATGCAAAGATGGACCCTAAATCTAGTCTATGAAATTACCTTTACATACCCCATACGTACCTAACTTAAGCATTGAGGTTCTTGGGTATGTATTATGCTGGTATCCTTATCGTTTATTGGAAAAAGGACCTTGAGTTGTAGCCTAGTGGTCTTAGGTCCGAACCTCCATGACATCTTGGTTGTGTGCATGAGAAACCCCCCTCCTCTTGTAGTTTAGATTATCACTTGTACTCTGGAAAAAAAACCTCATGCCCGAAACCTGATCGAAATAGATTCAAAACCGTATGAAGAAAAAGTAATTCTTAAAGACAAGTGATCAGGTACGAAATAGTAATTCACATATTCTATTGGCACACTTTCGTTTTTGTTGTTGAATTTTTTTTTCTTCTTCCTTTTTTGAGACAAACTATGTAATTAATTAAAACAAAATACATGACAGTGTCATGTGTCACATTATTATTGTAAATTACGGTTTTATCACATACTCTAGAGTAAAGTTATGGTTACTTAATTAGGTTTTTTTATTTATTTATTTTTAAACATTTAGATAAAGTGGATTGTTCAAACTAACATGATAACTTGCGTGTATATGATCCTTGTTAGTTCATTGCTTAACTCAATTTTTCAGGTCATTTTCATGGAGCCACTGGAGATGTAGCGTGTGACACGTATCACAAGTATAAGGTATATATTTTGCAAAATTCAATCTAGTTATTGCTGACAATCTTTTCTTTTAGTTCAGAGGTTTCAGGACTAGTAGTTATTCACGTACATGTTACAATTATGCAATCACGAGATTCATACTATATCAAGACTAGCTAGTCTTCGAGAGGTTTTTATAGTTTTTGGGAGGCAATATAACATACTATATGTTCCGTAATCACACGATTTATTGCCTAAATAACTAATTAGGAACATGTTGATGCTATTTGATATACATCATATCATATATCGTTTATGCATGATATATAATGTTCATTCAAACTGTTGCAGGAAGATGTTCAACTAATGGCAGATACTGGATTAGAGGCATATAGATTTTCCATCTCATGGTCAAGACTTATCCCAAGTATGCATGAACATCCAATTGTTACTCATATTAAACAAACAAGGCTTAAGTTTTCACGCACTCAAATATCCAGTTTCTTTATTTCAGATGGAAAAGGACCTGTCAATCCAAAGGGTCTACAATATTACAACAATCTTATTGATCAACTAATCAGCCATGGTTACTATCTACCTTATGATACCACATTATATATTTTCCTTCGAATTTGGGGAGTGGTTATACTCTTGGGGCATGTTTACTTAGGAATGGAGGAAGTCATGAATCGTGGAACTAAATTGAGGAATTGGAATCAGATCAACTATGTAGCTGATCTGATTACTATTTTTGAGGATATTCGCGAGTTTTGCATGCAACCCATATTATTTTGGATTGCATCTGTGTTAGTAAACATGGGGGAAGACATGAATTGAGTAATTCCAATACCCATTCCTAATAAAGTAAACATGCCTTAAGAAACATGTACCACTTCCACCAATCTAACAATTCTGTAATTTGATGTCTGAGTGCTTTTTTTTTCAAGCAGGAATCCAACCACATGTTACTCTACACCATAGTGATCTCCCACAGGCACTTGATGATGAGTATGGAGGATGGGTTAGCCGAAAGATTGTGTATGGTTTCTTAACCCTATTTTTTTTATTTCGCACAATTTCAATGCATCAGGAGAAAAAGGGAAAAGATCATGATGGAACAATTTTGTGGTTGCAGAAAAGACTTCACTGCGTATGCAGATGTGTGCTTCAAAAATTTCGGGGATAGAGTTTTGCATTGGACTACTATGAATGAACCTAATGTTTTTGTTCTTGGGGGTTATGATTCTGGATTTCTTCCACCACAACGATGTTCAATTCCATTTGGTCTCAACTGCTCTAGGGGTAACTCCTCAACAGAACCGTACTTGGCAACGCATAATATCTTGTTATCTCATGCGTCGGCTGCTAGATTGTACAAGAAAAACTACCAGGTAATTGGAAAAGAAAACAAATTCATGTTAAATGCTTCGAGCACTGTTGTTCTTGCAATAGTGTGCTTACGTCCTTGAATCAAGAAATAGTACAAATTAGTAAGTGTCATAGCTACTAAATTTTCACATGTTGCTTAGGTCTTCGAGTTTTAATTCAAGAACATAAAACATGTTAACTAAGAAAATAGTTAGAGATTAGGTTGAGGAAATAAGAAATTGGGAGCTAATGGGAAGTAGAAAAAGAGAAAACTGTGCAATATTTGATGCCTCTCCTTCTAATGTACATATACTATGTGGAAATGCATAAACAATTATAAGCTCAAACATACAATACAGACTGTTATAAACTATGATAAAGAAGTTAAAAGAAACCCAACATAATACAACAAAGATTATTCCATGTAACATCAATACTTTTGGAATGCAGGATAAACAACATGGGTTTATAGGAATCAACCTTTTTGCCTTTTGGTTTTTTCCTCAAACAAAAACCATTGAAGATGAACTAGCAACCCAAAGAGGCCTCGACTTCTATTTTGGTTGGTAAGTCTGACATTGACATCAAATTGCAACTTCTCTGTTCTCTCTTTTGTAGTCATTTTCCAGCCCAATTTGGTAGATTATTAGTACAGGGTGATCCTTGAGTGGAACATCAAAAATAGATATTTTGGATGATCAAGCTACTATGTGAAACCAGTCAAACAAATATATATAGATATATATATATATATACAATTATTCTCTTTTTCGGATGTCTGCACGTTATTATCATGCAAATGCCATTGTAAACAGGGAAAAAAGCAGGGAGAGATAGTAAAAAATACATGGCGTCCGCACGATAATAACGTCCGGACGTCCGCATAAGAATTTCTGTATATATCACTACTACATTTTAGCCTTTGCGCGGCGGGAGGGGCGGTGCCGCGGGCAGAACAGATTATACTTGCGA